CGCTGAGTTCTTTACCACCTGTACTTGCAGCAAAGAGGGCAGAAAAAAGGAAAAATTCACCAAAGAATTCCATCCTTTCCATACACTTTTTAAAATATTCTACATGATAAAACTGAAAATATGCCTAAAGTACCTCTGCAGAGCAAAGGTACAACGGGCCTTGAGATATTTATATGATTGAATTGTGAGACAAACTAGCTAACCGTTTCATGAAATAGCGATTTGGCTTAAAAGAACAATTTGCTTGATAGACAAATCAAGATTAATTAGACTTGGGTAAGTATTTGGCAAACCCTTTCTCATAAATGAATCACATGAACCTGTTACTTCAGAAACTGATAGTATGATGCAATGATAAATCAAGCTTTTAGGTGGAAAACAGAATTTTGGAAAAACCTTATATGTGTCATAAGTTTGACAAGTTCCAAATAATCAGAAAATTTCTCTGATTATCAGTTATGATATTAACAATGTTTTTTTCTAAAATAATGAATTATGTCAACATTTGGAAGTTATTCATAGTTCAGTGAACTGGTATTTCCTAAGTGAACAAAATGAATGAAGTCACAAAATCTCTTTTAATAGCAACTAAGAGTAAGAAGAGTCATGGAGTAGTTTCAGACTAACCTCTGAGAATTCTTACTTGTCAAGTCTAGTTGAATATTAAAGAATATTATCTATTATCTATATATTATCTATTATAGGAATAGGCCATTAAAACATTCTCTTCCTTTTCTACCCTTCTCTTTGTGAGGCAGAATTTTCTTTGTAAACCTTCACCAAAACAACATATTGTAAAAGACTGAATATTTAAAGATAGAAGAATCCAACTCTCCTTTTCCTAGAAATTATAGATTTGCACACATGTAAAATAATATCATTTCTCATTTTTCTGAAACTGTTATGATTGCCATAAAGTGCATTATTTATGTTAACATGTATTTGTCTCTTTACTGTTATTTTAAAATGATATATTGTGGATTTTTCTTCAGTTTAAATTGCAAATCATTACATATGGAAGGTGAAATCCCAATAAACAAAAGGTCTTTTGTGTCCCAAAAATTTTGATGAGTGGAAAGGGGTCTTGAAATCCAACGCTTGAAAAACCCAGCCTTGAGAATTTTATCTTTCAATGTCTTATAAAATTGTTTTTTTCTATCCCTTCAGCAGTGCATCTCCTGTGCCCATTAGAAAAGAGACCATTTACATAAAGGTTGGAACCTGGTGCAACATAACATATATATAATATT